GATTTTTCTGAAAGAATAAGGAAAAAGAAAAAATGAGCACAAATAAATAAAATGCCATATACTGAAACAAACAGATTTAATGAGATAAGTAAAATAAAAAGAGGAGATAAAGGACATCAAAGTACCTTCTACGAGATCCACTGAGAGGGTAAAATTCTGACAGTCACTCTCCCGTTCTTTGGGCTTAGCGTAATACAGTGATACCAACTGTTGCATCAGAAGAAGTGTGTTTTTATATTGTGTGATAAATAAGTCTTTGTTATACTGTTCTTTTAAGATTTAAAAACCCTTGTCTAGGATTCTGAAATGATCAACTAACAGATAACTTACTGTCACTGTTGCTTCTCCTGTTCCCCTAGCAGTCACTGTGATGTCCTGGTTTATATTGTTAATCTGTTGGGATTAATATGTACAAACACACAAAGATGTGTTTGTACATATTATGAGAAAAAAAACAGAGATAAGCTCACTTCGCTCCCACCGACTGAATTAAAATTGCATTGAATGTCTGTTAGACAGGAAAAAAGGAAATAGACCAAAAAGCTTGCAGAGTGGTGAGATGGATTGCCAAAAAGACAGAAACACTAGCAGTACTGAGATTTATTTACTGCTAGAGGACATGTTTTCAGACTGACAAATTGTGCTACATGGTGACTGTGTTTGTGTTGCTTCTTCTCACCTTAGACGTTCTTGTGGCATAGTGGTTGTTCTGATTGAAATTGTACTTTTCAGGTGCCGACCTTCCTGGCAACTTGATGTCCACATTCAGATCATACTGTGGTTCGTTAGCGTTGATCCAGTACTCTGCTACAGCTTGATAGACCATTATAGTAGCCTGGAGATAAGAAAAGTGGGGGAGATAAAGAAAGGCAAAGGTTATAAGGTGGGATAATATGTATAAAATATCTGTATAAGATATTGATTGACAGAAGGCTTTGTGTTACCTGAGTTGATCCATAGCCTCCGCCCACCTTCTGTTGTGTGTTGAACCATCTCACAACATGTCTGGCATCTTCAAAGTTCTTTATTAAACAGCACAAGACAAGAGTAGAGTTTAAAAAAAATATGGAAAACATTTTTCAAAGGTACTTCAGAGTTTTAGGCTTTCTAATCTGCTTTTTGCTTTTTATTTGGGTATAATTAAAATCCAGTCCAGAAACTTGCCTAATGGAAGAAAACAGCAATGTTTTTCATAGTACATAATGAAGCTGTCTTATTTGTTTTCATTTGTGTTTGCACACAATAATAACACAACATAAAACTAAACGGAGAAATTTACATTAAATAAATGGTAATTCGAGTACTCTGGAATGGTCCGATGGTATTTTAATACTGTAAAATAAATTTTCAATGACGACATGTCGTTAGTGGGGTTAGGTTAATTGGAAATACTAAATTGAACATAGGTGTGAATGTAGGATTGAATGTGAGTGTGACTGGTTGTCCCATGTCTATGTGTTAGCCCTGCAACAGACCTGCCCAGGGTGTACCCTGCCTTTTGCCCTAAGCTGGGATAGGCTCCAGCGACCCTGAAAAGGATAAGCGGAAGCAAATGGATGGATGATATAATTTGGACATGCTCACCTGAGTTTTGACAAGAGCAAGAAGAGCATAAGCTGTGGTTTCCAAAGTGTAAATGCCCCCTCTAGGTACAGGCCAGTGAGATAGCTCTGACAGACACAATCACACAAGTGCATTTTTATTACTATAATATATCTTGAACACATCTACCTCAGTAGTAAATTTGCGAATATAGTAAAAATGTGAATATACATATCATCTCTGCGCCTGGTTGCGCCTAAGTGAGTTTTTAAGAGAGAGAGTTTCCCCTGTAAAGAGAGTTCCTGTGGATCTGTAAATATTGCAACCCCGGACACACTAACTGACAATTCCTTTTGTTGTCATCTTTGTTTGTAACTTTTCTGTAAATAAGCTCACTGTCGCTATCACTGGACCTGTTCTGATGTGACCCAAGATGAACTCACATCTTGAGTCCTTTTGCACCATTAACAACAATTAATGCCAAAAAATTATTGTATTTTAGCCTATGGTTATGTGACCTGTATTAGAGAAGGACAGGACAGCAATTTAAAAACACTGAAAATACCAGACCATTCATTTAACTAAGAGTTAGAAAAAAAATCCTCATGAACATACTTTTATAGTACAGTTTTTACAACTGTTTTTTCTATTAACTGAAACAGTAACGATCATAGTTTACATTTACTGATCTTGTAACATTTATATAGTCTCAGCTGTGTGTGTGCGCGCG